ATGCGCAGTAGTGCGCACGGACGCGTGCTGGCTAAGCGCGATCCCCCCCCCCCCCGACTCTCCCTCTCTCGTACGTGCGCTGAGGGGCACGGTCGCGCGCAGGTGTGTGCAAGATCCCCCTGCTCTCCCTCTCTCGTCGCGCGTGCTGATGCGCATGGACGCGCAGAGGATTCCCCCGCGGCTCTCTCTCTCCCCCGCGCTGGTGTGCGTGGATGTGCGCAGGCCCAACTCGCCGCTCTCTCTCTCTCTCGCGCACGCGCTGATGCGTACGAACGCGCGCAGGATTCCCCCGCGGCTCTCTCTCACTCTCGCGCGCTGATGCGCACGGACACGCGCACGATTCCCCCGCGGCCCTCTCTCACTCGCGAGCGGATGCACGCGTCCTACAAAGCGGCTCTCTCTCACTCATGCGCGATGCGCGCGAACGCGCACAGGATTCCCCCGCGGCTCTCTCTCTCCCGCGCGCTGGTGCGCACAGATGTGCCCAGGCCCCCTTCGGCTTTCTCTCTCCTGCGCACTAGCGCGCGCGGATGTTCACAGGAGTACGCTCCCCTGTGCACGCGGGGAGCGCGAGAGTGTGTGTAAGTGCTCGCGCGAGTATGCGTCGGTTGTGTGTGCAAGTGCGCACTCGTGTATCTCCTCCCGTGTGTGTATCTCCTCCCGTGCGTGTCTCTCCCCGCGCGCGTGCGCAAGTGCACCTGTCTCCGCGCTTTCCTATGTCGTGCGCCTCCCGTACATCTGTCTCCTCCTTCCTCCCCACCTGGTCCGCACGCGCCTGATCAGTATGTGGTGGATTCGTTCGCCTCCTTTCTTGCGCGTGTAGTCGCCCCGCACGTCTCTTTTCCCGTGAGTCTGTCCTTGCGTCCCGGCTCCCGTGCGCCTCACTTCTTGCATGCGAAGAATGTCCCAAACCCAGGCCCGATTCGGCTCAAGTATCCTGCGGGGCCCTTTCCACATGTGTGTGCCCCGACCACGAGTGCACCGAGGCCGCTTGCAACTTGCAATGCCTCGGTAACGGCCCTGCGCCTGAGCCTCCTTGGGCCTCCGAAAAGGTCCCGGTGGAAATCGCCTTCCCATAGGGAACTGGGCCCTTTGCAGCACCCTGGTACCGGAGCTGTCCCCGAGCTTGTCCCTGGCCCATCCAAGCCTAAGCGGTCCCCACGCCGCAATGGTACCCCTCTTGGGGGAAAGTCCAAGCTGGCCCCGTAGGTGAAAATCGAACCCATCATTAAGTTGGGCCTAGGTGGTCCCTGCGTCCCAGCGGGACCGCCCCTCCGGAAGAAAATCCAACTGGCCCAATGGCCTCTTGCCCGTGGTGTCAGCCCGTGCCATGGTCGGTGAGTCCCGGCCGGATAAAGTAGGCCCTTCGTTCGCAGCGTTGGTCCGCTTCATGGTCGGTGTGTCCTGGTCACGTAAAGTAACGTCGAGCAATGATATCGTCGCGCCATTCTCCAGTGTGTCGTCTCACCGGATGGTTGATAATTGTCGGCAACCCCATCGGCCCCAGTGTCGGTCCGTCTCATGGTCGACGAAGCCCAACCAGGTAGAATACTGTTGAGTGTGGTTGTCGTCACGTGCCCTTTGAAAAGAAGTAAAGGGCGGCGTAGCATTGTAGTCACCCGATAACGGTCCCATCCTTGCTGGACAAGAACTCATCGCTCACGAAATACCATCCGAAAAGGACATCGCAGGTGCATTGTCGATGAAAAAGAAATCTTTGAGATTGGGATGGGTGCCCGCAGTCTATACGTGGATACACTTGTGCTTTGAAGCACCAGTATGCCACACATCGGTCTGCGGGTGTCACAAACCAGACCCACACCACTTCACAATGTGCCGAGTTTTTCTTTTCCAACATCGCCCCTCGCCGAGTGGCCCCTCCAAGTTTTGCTTGTGTCGACAAAAGCTTTCTGCACAGTTCCTTGAGGTCACCAGTACTTGGCCAAGATATCGCTGCCGAGTCGGCCAACACCCTGCGTGCCAAGTTTCGCCAAACCGCCGGGGCGCCGTTTCAACTTTTTTTTGGCTGGCGCTTCCAGCCATTGTGCTCCGGTACCCCGAAGCCGGACAGGCGTGGCCCTTTAACGGGGAAGCGCCGCGGCCGATAGCTGGGCCAAGTAGCCGGATAATGTTCGATGGCTACAGGCATTGAAACCAAGGCGACCTGTGAGCTTGCTCGAGTAATTTTGAGACACTATTCAATCCATCCACAACGACCCTTAACATTTGTAGATCTGACAACCTGTCTTTTATCATGAACTGCAGTCGCACAGCCATTCCCAAGAGTACATCTAGAGCTCATGCGCTCTACTGGGCCTCGACATGCACAAAAGACAAAAATCATGACACTGTATCTTTCCATGTTCTAGCGAAGGATTCACTCTCATTTTCGTTTTGCAGCTCTCGTCTTACAGCTTTCAAGAGTGGTGGAGTGAGGGCCATTCTCTCCGAGTTCATGACCAATTTAGATCCTTTTCAAACATTACTACCAGTTGACATGTGTATTCTTTTTTCCTTAATGGGAATACAACTCCAATCTATTCGTGGTATTCAGCCGGCAACGAGCAAAAACACTTTGCTTCGAGAACCCTTTCATTTTTAACACAAATTTTCCTTTCATTTTTTTAACACGAATGTTCCTTTCAGTTTTTTAACAAGAATGTTCCTTTCGTTTTTTTTTAAGGGAACAGAGCTCCAATCTATTTGTGGGGAGCAGCGCATGGCGGGCAAGGCTCTGCTTCGTGAGATTTGCGAGTTCGACAGGATTTACTTTGCTATTCTCTACAGACGAGCTACGTTCTTCGCCTCCAATACAACATACCATCATTACAACAACAATATTTAGACTGAAATGTATCCCAAATAGATCTACAATGACCATACGTTGTATTCAGGGGAAGAACATATTCATCAACAATCTCTTCCAGGCAGTTAGGGACATTCATCAAATTTTGCCTAAGGCTATATAGAGGGGACCCCTGCAAGCATGTTTTCCCCACCCCAACAGTGGTAGTCAGAGATGGGGTATGGCCACCAAGGGGGGTCCATAGCCGTCAGTAACCATATGCTTCTATTTATCACCCTCATATGCACCCCAATTCAGCCGCCAGTGGGGGTACTCTTCAAGGCGCATCAGCACGGTCGCCATGTCAATATCTCGGCACTCATTGCGCCAAATTATGTTCTCCTCCTCTCTGCGGTGCTCACCAGAACGCTGCACTAGTCATACAGGTTGCCTGCTCTCTCTAATAGGAATATATTGCAAACTAATACCTACCTACAGGCCATGAACCTAGACCAAAACGAGTCCCGGTACAATCTGACGCAACCTATCAGGTTTCCTGTAAAATATATACCAGATCGACGGATCCTCTCCTTCTCTCCCTGTATCTGCGACTATTTTGAAATCCTCTCCTTCTCTCACCAGTATGCAAAAAAACGACCATGGTGAACAGAACAGGCACGCATCATAGGGGACGGTTTAGGCAATAGATACGAGTTACTCAACTCGTCAGGTGCTGGCAGGCCTGCCATATGCCCACTATATACAAATATATAAAAAAAAGAGCTCAGGGCGAACAGACGTGGCACGTGGGCGGAGAGACACGCCGGGACTTCGACAGACAAATTCGCTGGTGTGCATAGGTCAGGACTCAGAAACCAATATTATGTCATATCTTATCCATATCCGATAAAGAAACTACTAGGGCGGGGGGAGAGGGAGGAAATTTGAATGCTAGTTTTTTCTGCAATGTGTCTGATACAATTCGCAATGACACTTGCAGGTAGAAATTATGAAATGAAAAAACAAAAACCGAAACCTCCCCGCCATCCACATGAGGCGAGTGATCCTCGATCTCGGCTTCACCAGAAGATATCAAAGACATCTGACATCCTGTGAAGAGCGGAACTTTTGCAAAAAGTGAACGTCCACCATAGCCAGTTGCAATCAAGGGGATGTAACTGATACCATTTCCTTGTCAGTGAATTTCCAATGGCGTTTGCAGTTACAACTTGTGAAACTTCCACTCTCTCTCTCTCTCTCTCTCTCTCCACATGCCATTGCAAATCAAGCAATAAAGAAATACTATCAGCTACATCCCCTCAACCGCCATCTCAAAATGATGGTCATTGGAATGCATCTGATATAATCCGGTAATTTGATATCATGTCCTTATGTGAATTTCCAACGGCGTTTGCATGTGAATGATGGTCTTGTCATTCCATTTACAAATGGGCCGTCACTGCAAAACTTAGTTGATTTCATAGAAACTCTTGAAAATCAATCATCAAACACGTAGATTGGCGTCCCACAGTGTTTGTTATCCTGAGCATCTGGTTGCATTCTGGGCATCTGATTCTATCTGGACACACAGTTGGTTCTTTTTTTTTTTTTTTTAAGGAATTTCTATTTTTCAACAACCGTGCTAGGCTTTGAAATGCATCTGGAAAAACAAGAAAAAAAAAGGAGAAACAAAAACGAGAAAAAAAAAAAAAAAGCATCTGACTGTATCCGGACACACGGTTGTTTGATTCAATGGATTCCCGATTCTTCCAAATAATATTTATATTACTTGTTCGTCAATTGCAATTCCAAATAAGATTTTATCATTTTCTTTACTCCTTGGAAGTTCACATAATATGACCACGGATTGTGATCATTGAACAAGAATGGCTTCACATCCAATGTCTGCCTGAATTGCAATCACTTCCTTCGTCGTTCTTTCCACACACTTTGTCAATAATCTGTCCATTATCTTACACCAGAGGCCTTCGGGTCTGTTCAGCGAAGCGTCGAGAAGACATTCTTTCACATGCAATTCTCTAGACCAACAACTCGACACATCCTGCACGTCACAATCATCATCGCCTACAACACGCAGCCATGTTGCAATTCACCATTTGTGTGCGTGTGTGAGAGAGAGAAAGAGAGAGAGAGAGAGAGGGAAGATCTCACCATTTTCTCAAAAGACAAATCACTTAAGTCTGCTCATGCCGTATCTTTTCAACAAGCCAAACAGAGGCAGAAGATTCGATGCCATGTGCAGCCAGCGAAGGGAAACTTTCATACCAGCCTTCCTTTCTTCTCCCCCTAAGCCTCACTGGCTACCTGGCTACACATGTGCCTCAAACGTCCCGCCGTCATTATACGGTTCCCTGTGAAAGGTTTTGATCAACCTTACCATCCAGGATCCAGTGGCTCCAAGACGTAGTAGAGAAATGTTGGAGGAACTTCGAATGTTGAAGGAACATATCTCTGCGCCACATTCCAATTTCCTCCAACATTTCTCTACTATGCCTCCTACATACGTTCCCGGTGAGGACAAGTAGGATATACCTACGCATTGCAGATTCCTCCCAGGACATGCATGTGGCAAAGCCGAAACCGCACAAGTCCTCACAGTTTCCAGTGCCACTGCGACCGAGGCTCCTCCACGGTTGCATCAAATATATCCGCTTTTTACACATTGCTCCCTACAGATCTAATGCCGCAAAGATGACACCCCACAACTCCCCCGTGTTTCACAATAGTGGGCATGTCTATAACAAGCACTGACAGCAGCTTCCTCTGCGAATGTACTATACCCTTGCAATCCCATGCTCCAGTGAAAATTGCAAGAGCAGCCTGTTCCCCTTTTTTCCAATGGGGATCCTGCCTTCTCTTCACCAATACCCCCACTAGGATGACATGCATCCCACTTTATCTTTACCAATACCCCCTCTTTTCCTACCGATACCCTTCCCCATTTTCCCCTCCCCATATGTCGACTGCGGGCATTTAGTAGAGCCCTACATCTGAAAACTGGCCGCCACACCGTCGTCGATGTTTTCCATCAACGGCGCATGGCCACCGAATTTGAATTTGAGGACCACGACCGCACATACGAGAAAGGTAGCGGTGGATTTAAAATCAAAAGATTTCAGCTATTTCTCGTTATATGCATGTCATCCTTTCCCAGGATCCCTGCTAGTCGTCTTTCTCCGTATCATTCAATACTAACCTTTCTCAAAAGATTTCAACGGATCTCCCCTTTTTCAATATACTCCCAAACTTCTCACGCTCTTTTCAGAATCTCACAAGACAATAACCAGCTCAGACCTGAAATTTGACAAAACCTGCCACTTATCTCGTCTTGTCGACATGTCCTTCAATATTGCCAACATGGATCGTCCTCTTCCCTGATATATCACACTGCTCCGTTGGAGAGTCCTTCCTTAAAAGGACCGCGCCATCTTTCACGTGCATCACCAGGGGTTAGGCGCACAATTTCCATCCTTGTCCTGTTCCTAGCAGCGGCTGGATCAAACATACCTGACTGAATTCCGGCTTGGCAACATCGCCACGTCGAGTGTGAACAATTTCCTTCCGCGTCCCAGTCGAGCGTAATAATCGAAGCCCACTGACGAGTCAGATTTGGCGGCCTCAAACGAAACGCCGAGTGATCACTACATTTTACCTCCATCTCTTATTAGAAAAAAAAATCTCCTCCATCGCCAATGAAATTCCAGTGCCACATCGCTTTTATCACTTGTAAGGAGGCAATCTAAGCCCCGTGCATGGCTTTGTGCTCACATTTCACACATTCAACACCTACAATTTATTTGGGAATGTGATTCGCAGGCCAGCCTCGGCAGGAATCCTCACACAGTTGGCAATGCTACAAACAGAGTCAATACAGAGCATTATGTGCTCCACTCTACATCTCTCACCTCCTCCTCGTTCCAGATCATACGCTAAACCATACTTCGCTGGGCAGTCTCCTGCTTCTCTCTCACACATGTCACAAACAAAAAAACATATCCAGACAATAGATAGCAGCACGAACTAACAAAACACAATCGAAGGTACCTAGCGACATGACAAGACCCCTGATGATTCCGGTTGTGGTGGCCGGATGAATCACAGCGCGTACGGTCGCTGCACCAAGTTTTCACGACTATCTTCGATGTATCGGGCGGTGTTTTATGCTGTTCCTATGGCCGATTGGTCGCGTCTCAGGAAGTCGGGACTCCCCTCCCACCGTTCCCCGTCTCTTTTCTTTGTCTTGCCTTGTCTTTCCCTCTTCTCCTCTCATCTTCTACTGCCTGCTGACGTCATCATGAATTTATGTTTGCTTGGAACGCCTGTCCATATCCATGGCCACGTTCTCTCTGCGAGTGTTTCCGTTACAGCATGTTGCTGTTGCATCTATTTTTCCAACTGTCCCTAGACATTTCTCCGTCAGCTCAGTTCCCATGCAGGTACTAGATCTCAGCTGCGAGGGTGGGTCTTGCTTAACAGCCATCAAAAGTAATCAGAGTCCCTACAACTCAAATTGGGCCCTACGGTGAGATTAAACCTTGTCACACCATAATCCGAGAAAATTAGAGCTCCTACCTCTTCATACCCTCCGTCCCGTTTCCTCCTTTGCTTAGCTCCTTTTCACCGTGGGTTACGCTTCCGTCCCTGTGCTTTCCCAGAGAGCTCATCCTCCTCCGCCGCTGATGATCACATCCGCAAGCATATGCATATGTAGCTTACACTTTCGGAAGCAGTAATCTCTAAAAGCATCAAAAGTCAAAAAAAAAATCCCAACCATCGCCACTCCCTGCAAAACCTCGCCCGCACTTTGGACCAAAGTCTCCAAAAGACAATCCATACAGCTTCACTGAAACAGAGCCCTCTGCGATCAGGTCTCTTGCTGGACAAAAGTGACAAGCGTTTGAACGCATATTTTCCTTCAAGAACTAAAACCTACAACGGACTTCGCTACTCGCTTCTAATATACAATAGCCTCGTTAAGTCCTTTACATTAGCTCAAGTCGCTGTTGTCCTAACATTACCCCTACAAAAAATCTCACTCCACTGAAAACCGTTACCACAAGTCCCTCGAGTGTCCAGACAAATGTCTATTTTCATGCCATCCTCGGTATGATATACTCGACGGGGCACAGTCCATTTCTATTCCTCCCAAGACCCCACCATTGTGTGATATAAGCATTCTAAGCTCCCAAGATCCCACCTCCGTATGATATCCATATTGCACATCACCAGTTCTTCACCACCATCTCTTTTCCTCCGGTGCTCTAGAGTGTGCTCCGTTTCTACTAGTTTCTTTGGCGTTGCTCTACAGTCGACATACCGTCCACAGCACCATCCCAAATGCAATGGCAGCCATTCTACCGCCGACAATAAACTGTCGGCACATACTGGTCCCTTGCAGCCAAGGCTTGCTACCATCTTCAGCGAAATAGAATGCGCAGTCGTAATTCCGCAATAGTTTCCTGGCATTCTGTTTACGTGGGGACGGCAGAGAGCCATCATTCCATTTACGCAAAGACGGCAGTGAGCCATCCTCTGCACCATGGCTCAACACAGCACGGGTCATATCTGTCCCCATCTCCCACTTCCGAAGCTCTCCAATTCCCAATGAACGGTTCATATCTGCACCTTTAACAACAATCGACAGCACTTCTTGGTAAGCATTTGCTCTGAGCGGACGCTGGAGCTGCAACCGTGTGTGTCGACTTCGTACCGACTGCATTACAAGATCAAGTAATGCTCCGTCCGTATCGTACCCCCCCACCAAATTACTCGCCGCGTGTGTATCTCCCTTCCATCTTCTCGCCATGTGTTCCTCCTCTGGATACCCACAAATGTTTTCCTCCATCGCCGAGTGTGGGTCTGCTGGCTCCAGAACATGCATCCGCATCTTCTAAGCTTGCCCGCCAGCAACCACGCCCACGCCCGTCCTACAGGACAGCAGAGACGCCGATAGAAGTGCCTAGGCCGGAGAGAACCCTCAAAAAACAAATTGCCATGGAAGAAAATTGGGAACCCATTCTTACTCACGATGAGAGTCGAGACAAAGAGAGCAACTACTCTAGCCAATTCGCTCGACGGGACATCTATGCCCTATCCGCCGGGCTCTGCCACCTGCACACGGACGGCTTACATCACATGTGGAGAAAAAAAAAACGAATGCCCCGATGCCAGCTCAGCTTTCCTGCCTAGAAAACATTGCCGTTGTCGCGTGACCACCATTTAGCGTACTTGCCATACAAACGAGCAAAGATTGTTGATGCCCCCTTTTCCACATTTTCCGTGCAGCGCATCACACGGAATCCATACCCAACACTACCTGGATGTGGAATTTGCCCCAGCAACAGCAAACAGTCACCCACATCGATTCTCTCCTCGATTATCTCCAAACAATCACCGACATCGATCCTCTCCTCGATACTCTCCTCATGGCTACACACCAGCTGTCTAACGAGCCCCTCCACTCAAAGAATGATCATCTTGATCACGACCGAACGTTACTCTGGACTGAAGCAACCTTCATAACGTGCTCGATTTCAAAGACAATCCATTGACGAAGCCAGATGCCGCCTCACATTTCGGATCTTCCCTCTCTTTCCTACATCCAAAAATGATAACCCGTCCCTTCCCCCGTGCAGCAGGACTGCCTGAAGCACAAACCTGAAACAGAAAGAACACTCAAGAGCGAAAGACCAAGACGAGAGAGGCAAGAGCATGCACACACCACAGAGAGAGAGAGAGAGAGAGAGAGAAAGAGATCGGAAGAGACTCCCTCTAATAAACTGAGCAAGAGAAATAAGAACGAGACTCCCACTTGCTTTCCTCCGACGAAAAGAATCACAACAGTCGGCGCATCCAGAAGACACCAGGATGACCACACACAACGATTCCATGCTAACACGAATGCACTACACAAGTTATTTCTTCTGTCTTCCAGTCGTAACTCTATTTTTTCCCCAAAACATATGTCACCATCACTTACATCATTAACCGTTTCCGAATGCATTGTCCATACTGACGCGTATTTCACATTTGTATACAATCGCTGGAAATACAACGACGCCATTCGGCAAAGCAAGCAATGAAAAACAATCCAATATCCCTGGCGTACAAGATATTTTGTTTTTGTTTTTGGATATTTCCAGAGCTTGGTGATGACGTTCGACAGCACCGTGCACAGATTAAACAACCAGTCTTCTGGAAAGATCAAAATTGCACAGATTCCAATGCTGTGCACGTGCGTTTTATTAAACCACCAGTACTTTTTAAAGTCGTGCCCATTAAACAACCAGTACTTGGCCCAGCTATCCGCCACGGGACTTCCCCATTAACGCGCAGCACCTTTAGGGCTCCGGGGTAACGGACCTCTATGGCTGGAAGCGCCAGCCAAAACAATTTCGAAAGGGTGCCCCGGCACTTCGGCGAAAATCGGTGCGCAGGGCCGTTTCAGGCACGGTCGGCATCGATAGTGGGCCAAGTACTGGTGGTTTAACACCACATCCCAATTTTTGGAAACGTACGCGCCACTACAGGAGTGCCCAGATTCTTCCGACCAGAAACGTTTTATTTTCCCGCAGCCGATAGCTGGGCCCACTACTCGTGGTTACACAGCCGATTTCTAAAAAGACGATTTCCAGAGGTGATTCGTACCCACTTTCTTTGGGGTAAGAGCGCCGCTGCTTTGGGGTAAGAGCTCCAGCGGCGAACTGCCAGCGATGCACTTTTCCTCTTTCATGGCTGGCCGCGCCAGCCATTGCGGTTTGTTAGGGCCGAGGCAAAAAAAACTTCAGATGAGCGACAAATTCATTTTCAGCGAAAGGTTGGGGGCATGTAATGTCGGTTTGAAAAGGCAGCTACCAAAGGTGCAATGGACAATTCAGTGATGATCAAATGACCAGGGATTTGTGGGGTGTCGGTGTTGTGCCCAAACATTCGTTCAGACTCGACATCGCCAGTACACAGCCCAAGCCTTGCTGAAAAGGAACTCGTCACCGATCCAGAAAGTCGGTGTCGGCACGGTGTCGCTTTTCAGCCTCCGACACAGCCCCCCGGCCGTTGCGAGGCGAGCACCACCAGTACACTCGGGGTGTTACGCACATCTCGGTCGGGACACGTTCAACTCGGGGTGTTTCGCACACCTCGGTCGGGACACGTTCATTTTCTGCAAGGCTGGGGCTGTGTACTGCTGGCTTAATGCCCCATCTGCACAAACATTCTTTTAGGGGGCAGTTTTACTTATGCCACTCATGGGCAAGAATCAACACAGGCCCTTTCTCCTCCCATGGGAGGTCGAATGGCACGAACGAACGCAACCCCTCATCTCTTTGAGCAAACTCAGTCTGTGGATGAGAAAAAGGCGAGACAAGAGTGCTTCCGATCTTTAGCATACGCCCCCACAGCACAAACCTCCACAGTCCGTAATGCATATGACTTGCGATTGGACAAACCACATCGCCCAACGTTTGTGCACACCTAACTGTTTAGATACGTATCTTCATTAGGGAGCTCATGCATGTGTGCAGAGTTGCGTCACCGTGTCAGCTTGTCTTGATCGTTTACGAAAGAACATAGTCGACGAAGGAATACGACACACCGTTACGAGTGACAACCTCTAAGCCTTGCGATGATGGCTCATTGCTTTCTTGATTCCTTTCACCTGCATGTTCATTACGACGGATTGGCTGCTCTGCATCAGGGAAGTCTCGATAATTTCCTTTCACCTGCATGTTCATTACGACGGATTGGCTGCTCTGCATCAGGGAAGTCTCGATAATCATCACCATATTCTTAGGGGAACAACGTCTATGGGCGAAGATGAGGTGCACAGATATAGCCGTTCTCTGTGCCAGAAGCATCAGTTCGGTCACACTTCCAGAGGCAGGCAAACCATAACCTTCGCATGATGATTACATCACATTGTTCGCAATACGAAAGCGTGGCCAGAGGAAAGCTGAACCCAATGATGATAGCAGCTGCGCTAGGAGATGCACAAAGGACAAGCGCAACATCCCTACATAAAGGTCATTTGGGACGAGAAGGACAAAAGTACGGCAAGGTAAACGAGCCAAATCGCCAACACTGCAGAGAGGCTGCCAAGAGTCCTAAGTGGAACGAAGATTCACCCCAAGACATTGTCAGAGCGAGGTTGATGTTAAATGACGATTTCTTTGCAATACTGCACCGTTGTCGCTGGTGTATAATCTGACACGATCATTAAGTGTTGTTCGCAGTACAAGGTCAGGCGGTCGTCGAAAAGTGCAGCAGCACTGGTCTTGTTCACGAAGGAAAGCGAGTGCCCTGCATACTCGGTAGCGCCGACTGCTGCACTTCTCGAACGCGTTAATACAAATCAACGTGGCATAACCAGACCAGAAACGTTCCAAGCAAACAAACTAGATCCGTAGATTCGAAAAAGAGCAAGGACGGCACCCTGCCAACGAGGTGCAGAAGAGCAAACTCCAACATACGAGAGCTCAGGCTACTGAAAATGACATGCATACGACCGAAACAACCATGCAACGTGGCACATTAGGGACGCAAAAAAAAAAAACACAAGTCAAGACTAACGCCCATATCACGACGGTGATGTTTCACATTCGCAGATAAAAACACCGGATAATCCCAAAAAAAGGCTGCCGCAGACAGTACAGAACAACCGACTCGAAAACCACCAACAAAAAAAAGAAAAAAAAAGGTGGCACAAAACGACACAGCAAGCATGACGTACAGTTTGAGAGACCTATTTGAAAGGAAAATCACTGCTCCCACAGCCATGGCCTACAGATCCCGACTCTTCTGAAGTCTTTTCACGGCGTGTTTCTTTTCCGTACAGCATCGCAGAGTACACGACAAAGCTAATGATTACGACACGACCACTCGCAGCCATTTCTTGTTGACCGCAACAGACAGACCGTATGGCATCATCTCCCTCTCTACCCGGCATTCCACGTAAATACGTCAGAATTCCAAACAAGGACGCAGCCAAAAAAGACAACGACCACGACCGCATACGCATAGCCTGGAGAGCTCTCCATCCGATATACAAAAGATTTGTCACCCTTGCCAGCTGCAAAAAACTCGAATCCTTCGTAACAAGCGTAGAACTACATACGGTGATGTTTTCTATGACCAAATAATACCATCTGCGAAATTGGCTCACCCTACTCGTCTCTGACGCATCACAAAACATGGGTACGAGAACAAGACGAGCAGATCCAAGGCACAAGGGCAGCAAGAGCCACCATATCTCATCGCCTGCCAGCGAATATACCACCTAAAGGGAGAATGTAAAGGGGTTAACAGATGGGTCCGTATTCAGAGACAAACGAAAAGCGGGCAAACAAAGAACGGCATGCCCCGCATGAAATACACGAATATGATGAGGATGATCGGTACGCTGAAATGTGACTCTGCTCTGGGTCACTCGCTCGAGGAAGAGAGTACCTGACTTGAAACACACATGCCTGTTCCTAGGGGTGATGTCGAATACGTTAAAAAGAGTGGTGGGCTGATTACGGCTTAGCGGATTACGGCCACACTTTCAAGGCGGGATCCCTGCAGCTAATGTATACGCCGTACGTCCTTAGGTTGATATGCCGCTTACGATCCTTTCCTTCTTCGCGTTCCCAACGTGTCCTGCGGACTGGTCTTCGCATATAGCAACGTTTCCTGTTGGAGAGAGCGAGAGAGACAGAGGCAAACGCAGGAGAAGTCACGACCATCACCCGCGTGGACGGAGATACAGAGACGCCGAAGTCCGAAAAAACACCAATTAGCGGTGGCCAATAATTTCCAATGTTAATAAACCACTGTATATTTAACCCCTATTTGCGGAGAACGAAGCGAATTATACATATATATATATATATAATATTACATTCGCAAGGAATATCCTGAATTAGGTGAGCCGTACGAAGGACTCGAATCCAACTCAAATGGTTTACATGCCCCTCAGAGGGGCTGCATTTGTCTTAACGGAAGGGGAGGGCAAGAGGGGTGAAGGGGGCGACAGGGCGTGACTGATTTCAAACCACGAGTACCTTGAGAATCAAATCCGCACACACCGGTATATACGGAAGCCAAGCGGGATCCGGCCGCCTGCGGCCCGACGATTTTCCATTTCGAGCCTTTGTTCTGCTGCCCAGAGCCGATGCATGGGAAAGGTACTGGTGGTTTGCATCACACGTCGCATCAGAAGAAGCAAATTTAATCCACGTTCATTCATTTTCCAGTCCGAACATCAAAAGAGGCATGTACAGCCCACCATCCCGACAGAAAACGCCAACCAGTTTAGCCACCCCCTAATTGCAAGCTCGAAAGTCCCTTTGGATGTGTCCAGCCTACATTCACACCTCCTTGCCCAGTCTGTGCTCGTTGCCCACACGCTGCAGAAGGATGGTTTGAATCAAAAAAGCACGCACTGTTCCTTAACTGGATTCAATTGACTCTGAAAAACAGAACCAGTGAGTATACCTTCTATCTACCCCTCTGGAAGAGCATTGCATCATCTAGAATGAACAAACTGCAGACACAGGGACGTCCGCACCTCATCGAAGATAACACCCCCATCCACTCCCCCATCCACATTAGACTTTCAACACCAGTCCTACCAGACCTCTGGTTCGTCAGAGCTTCGAGTGAACAAATCACCAATCAAAATAAAATGTGCCATCAAAAGCAAGTATGAAACGCATCCGCTATCTTCACGAGGTCGCGGGTTCAATCCCCACTAACTGCCTGGGCACCAATCAAAATAAAGTGTGCCATCAAAAGCAAGTATGAAACGCATCCGCTATCTTCACGCGGTCACGGGTTCAATCCCCACGAACTGCCTGGGCACGCTTAGTGCCAACCAACTGAGATAGTTGGCTTGCTCCCCAGGACGGGTAGTGCAAGGGTCTTCAGCCGTCACGGGTGTGCTTTCAGTTTCCCCCCGTACGGGTCCAAAAAGAGTAGATAAAGAATCAATGCAAGGGTCTTCAGCCGTCACGGGTGTGTTTTCAAATTCCCCCCCTACGGCTCCAAATCGAGTAGATAAAGAATCAATGCAGCTTTTGTACTATTGCACGTGTGCATGTGTGTCGTCATATTCCCCATACGCAACCACAAAGAAACGCACGACTGCGCCAGACTGTTTCTTAGGTCTTCGACTCGTCAAACGGTTCAACCCTGACAGTACTCCCAGGCTGCATTTGACTGATGAAAGAGGACTCACCACATCGCCCACAGTTGGCACTAGCCCCGAGGAAAGAAGTGGACTTCACTCGCACCAACCCAGCAAATCCCTGAAAAGAATGGCAGCAATTCTGAGAAACTAATCTGACACAGCCAAATGTAGTGTTTGCTAGGTGAGAGCCGGGCAGTGATTGAGAGCTCCTGGCAAAACGATCGGTATTTACATTACCTAGCCCCAACCAACACCACCCTACTCCCTGGCCAGTTGCCACCACCGATTACGACAGGAGAAGCCCTTGATTGTCAGAGGTGGGTATGTCGGCGTCGGTTCCCTGTAGAGGCTTTGGGGTAATAGTACGTACGAAGTGCGATGTGAAATGAAGACAAGAATGTAGCATAGCTTCAGAGAAAAGAAAAAAGGACGATATAGCATATAGCTTCAGAGAAAAGAAAAAAAAGACGATATGAAGAAAACATCTTCAAGTCAACGCATCGTGCAATGGCAGATTGAGACAGGTCCTTACCATCATGTAATCGTGCAGTCATCTGCTTCACCGACGAGAGCTACCTCTTGCACCACGGTCATCACCACTCCTGCGGCGTTCCGCTGCACTCCTAGGCCCAGCATGTCGTGCAAAGTCAAGTCGGAGAACATGGGAATCTCCAGACTCTGCTTCGTCAAACTTGTACCCTGCACAGCAAAACAGAATTGCCAAGCATAATGATATAAGTGTTACAAGGAGAAGATGGGCCGCGCTGGACTAGTCCACAACCTAACGTACATAAAAAACTCTACAACTAGCTGTCAAAAATCTTTGAAAGCGTTAATAATCTGATGAACACTACTCTTTGAAAGGTAGCAGAGGTGTTAATCAGATTATTAACTCTTTGAAAGATATTTGACAGCTAGTTATAGAGATTTTTTGAGAGTTGATAATCTGATTAACACCTCTAATACCCCGAGGGCCGTTAAGATCCTCCACGTCTCTATTTATTGGATTTGTTTCATCAAAGAAATGGCACAGCTGTCCTGTGTGGGACCCCAAACACAGGACAAAACCGTACAGAACTCGTTTGAATTGGACAGAATCACCTCTTAAACTATACATCACAGGGAGAGGCACGCAAGATCACAACACAACAAGAACAAGCAAGCGAACACATGACAACCACCACCACAGCATGCTCCTCGTCGTCTTTCCTATTCCTAATCTTATTCTTCACCTCCACGACTTGCGTAACTCGCTTTCTCACAACACATGCAACCTGGGTTCACAGGGTCATTTTGCGCACAAAACCATGCAATAGCACCATGTCAAGCACAGGATCACTGTCCGATCAACGTGGAAGCAATCTCATGGCCAGACAGAACTCAGATCCATCACAGAGAATGAACATCCAGGGGGCCATGCCAGCCCAGAGCACTTTGGAAAGTCTAGACAAGACTGCGAGTTAACAAACATAAACCACTACGTTCAAATTCCAAAGCCAGAAGAATCAGACGAATCATCATTCCCGAGCCGGTCATAGCCACCACTTAAACCTGGAGACTTCTCTTGAAGGAATTGCAGACGAACGCAAAATCTGATGTGTGCGAGAGGGTAGCCAACGGAAAGCGTGCCGCGGGGGGGGCTACCACATGAGAGGTTGACGTTAAAGAGGAGAAAACGCTGGACGCTTGACAGATATGATCCACAGCGATGCCCTTCCTCCAATACACCCAGACAAGATATTATCCATGCAGGGCATCGAGAAAACATGAAATGAAAAGGAAACAGACACCCGATTAATTAACTTCAACAGGGAAAATAATACGCGAGTAACGAAACCAGCGTCTGCACCTACCCTGAAGAGCATCCATAGCCGTTGCAGCACATTGAGGATTCACAAACTCCACGAAGCAGAGAACAATCTTATCACCAGATTCCTAGTCAAAATAATACATCGCCAGAAACAGGAGCACGAGTTGTTGTCAGATTCCCTAATTCGATGCAATAACCATACTTAAAAGTTGAAACAGCTGAATCTTGAATCTTCGCGGGCAACACAGTTTGACACACAACCGGCAATAAACACGTCATGCACTTGGTCTGTATTTCTTCCTGCTACTACCGTTAGGACGATCATTCAATGCCACCAGACCTAAAAACAAAAAAAAATTGATAGAAAAGATATTTTAAGTATAAAACATCTAAAGAACAAGGGAATCCTAACTATAGACTTCATTATTCTATTATTAATATATTAGTACATTGCTATAGATTTATATCTTCAATTAATGAATATGTACATATCATTATTCCTGCAATTCCCGTTTTTACTTCAACACATTAGAATCGAAGAAATGCTCTGGAGCATTGTTGGTCGTTCAACCGCCACATAACCATCAGCTCTGTGAACGGGGAGTGCATTTTTACTGCCAGAAGAGACCCGCCAACAGTGCTTCAAAAATATTCCAGTGCTTCATGGCAGTTAAGTTCCAACTCACACATCGACACGTTAGGGCAACTGCTATTGACCATGTGCCTTCTTAATCATCAGACAGCAAAAGGGGGCATTGCTGTGTTGCAAATAAACTCAGCCTACCAAGCTTTAAAAATATTACATTCAGATTCACTGCGCACAAACGCCAATAAAGTGTACTCACCCTCTTTGATTCTCTGTGCACAAGACGCAGCCCTTGGAAACCAATGAACGGCCGGAAAATGTCTAAGCAATAGCAGTCAAGGAGACGTCCATCGATTACAAGACTAAGTGCGTGCCATGTAATCCACACAGCAAACATCTTAAGGGAAACTCACCGCACCAATTACGATGCTTATTCTGCCTTCAATTCTTTCTCGTATAGCTCAGGAGAAAGGACAGCACTAGAAATTGTAAAATTCGTAGTACAACGAACTGCAAGCAAAATATTTGGCAGCTCCAACAAGACAACGGACGTGAAAAAACAAGAAACGTGGTGAAATTAAGTGCACAGAAGAGAGCACAGGAGGTGAAACTAAGAGCACAGGAGGCAGGGGGAGAAGCGAGGACGCAAGAGGTGGCATCATGCAGGACGAAACCTTGGGCTCTCTCTTCTCTCTCTCTCACACAGACACACACACAATACATGCGTGTGAAACCTAAGCTACATGCGAGTTGGCCGGATAAGCATACGCACACAACCATTCTGACACCAGACTACATGTACTCTCAGAATTTTTGGTTGGGAGCAGAGCATGCAATTCGGCCCGGCCTGATAAGCACCGTCAAGAAATTCACGAGTACCACAAATAATACAGAGGAAGACATATGCAGTCCATAAAAGTGAGATTCAAACTCACATAAAATGGATAAAATTCATCCCACTTCATCCCATTTTCGAGCCACAATCACCCAGACGGCAACATGTAATCGTTTATAAAGAGGATACGAGCTGCTTCCCTCTTCGAACAGTCAGCAGGCACTCCCTCGACGTACAGCGTTGCTGATGCATTCTCCGGAAGTCCAGGGTCCATTGCCAGACCCCCTCTAAGGCCGAGAGCACCTTCATGCTCCAAACCAATCCCATTAAGGGCCGCGACCCTCTGCCCCATGCCCATATCCATCCCCATTCCCCGGAGACCAGCATCACGCAGTGGAGGTCCCATCAGCCCATCATCCGCAAGTCCTCCCATCACTCCCATACCCATTCCCACGCCCATGCCCGGACCATCAAGTCCCATTCCACGGGCACCACTCATTCCAAGCTCACCAGCTCCATAGGGCAACTGCAACGTCAATCACAAGTATACAAGAGTAGATGCCTCCGTTAGATTCCAACAAGGACAGCATGTCTCCAATCAACCAAACACTCTCCTTTGCTTGCAAACCGCAACGATTAAACTGACTTACATACCACGTCAGTACCCGAAATACAGAATACGAAAGAACAACTCCCAGAAACAGTGCGAAGGCCCTCCAATTCAAGGAGAATAAAACAAGAATAAGAACAAGTGTCCTTCCTAGACACTGGTCTATGAAAACCAACGTCTAATACGGCAATAGGATAACATAAGAAACAGGGATACATCCCATGCTGCCTCTTCAGGTCCAACACGTTCAGGCGCCCAAGACGGTTAACCTAGCAAAGAACTCGTTAAACGCATAACTATAACGCGATTTGAATCATAACTATTGCAGCTCCCAAACAAGTCGGGCAAACAAAATTGTAACTCCTGCCTTCACTCCACAGCTTTTCCCTCCCTTCCATGGAGGGAAGCGGGGCATGGTTACGAGACCTGACTACTAATGTAGCTGCTCCCAAACAAATTAGGGCAAAAAAAAAAAAAAAAAAATCAAAAAATCTTTCCTTCACTGCCCAACTTATCCTTACCGTACATGCAGAATAACAAAAGAAAGATCGAAAAGAAAGAACGGCTCCATACATACCCCACTTTGATTCCAGTAATCTTCCTCCCTCGTTCCCTTACAATAGTTAAAAAAAACACGAATTGCCTTCCCCTGTCGCCTCCTTTCCATACCCAAAATCAACATGCCACCCACAGAGTGAAACGTCTCCTGCTCTTTCTGCAGGTATATATCCTCCTCGACCAGTTGCATTCTACGCGCGAACTGTAAAACCAAAGGTGCACCCTTCGTTCTCCCTATTCCTCCAGCTGCATTCTACGCCCAAAATGTAAAAACAAAGGTCCACCCTTCGTTCTCCCTATTCCTCCCTTCTGTCCACCACCCTCATCGGATTCCTCCTTCGCGCTTCTCTCTCAGCCGAATGCAGAACAAGACAACAGCGCACTATCACTCCGGCCTATAATTGCCCCATCTCCCTCGCTTCTCCAATGTTGGCATCATAGAGCACACTATTTTGAAATTCTGGACTTTACTAGTCACTACGTAGACGGCACTTCGGTTTTGTTTTTTTTCCCGCGACGTAAGGTACCAAAAGATCTTTGGCAATCTTTCAAGAAACGATGAGAACAGCTCGTCGAATAGATCGAAAAACTCCAGATCACTACGCAATCAAACCGACAATAACTTCATCCACAGTTAATCCACCGCCTCTCCTCACGCAGACAGAAAACGTTCGGGAGACCATTCCCTAGTAATCCTCTGCATCCCCTACCTGAGACAGGTATCCCTTCAATTACAGTTATTCCAATGACTATGGCTCTCATGCCCGCAAGGGATTGCGTTATCGATCTTCACCATCATCAAACCGTTTCCCTCTGTCTGTCTGTCTCTCGCGCTCTCTCTCTCTCTCTCAAAACAGCAACCTCACTCCTCCCTCACACCCCCCCGCCACCAACCACGTCCGTTTTTCTTCCCCTCACATACCGAAATTCCCGAAGTCAGACACGAAAAAACAAAAAAGAGAACCTCACTCCATCTCTCGCCTACGACTAGGTTCGACGCAATTTCGTTCTGTCCACAACAGCAACCTCATATTGCACTTGCATGTCAAGCCGATCATAGATTAGCTCGGCACGATACGTTTTCCTTGGTCATCTTAGGTCATATATCGTGCACGTACAATCATCTTGTACACCTCCATGTCAGACCTAATTCGTCGATTCTGTGAACACAATTATATGTACGTTGCACAGTTGTTTTCTTCTTTGACGGGCAGCAATCATCTTGTACACCTCCATGTCACACTTAATTCCTCGTTGCGGTGAACACAATTATATGTACGTTGCACAGTCGTTTGCTTTTTCAACGGGCAGCAATTTCGTGACACGTCGAGCACCGACAGTCTGCGAAAGAGCATTACACGGGCGAACGTTGCGCAGCAGAGCTTTTGCCGGCGGGCTGTTCTACAACCCGCGGTCGATTTTTCCGGCGCAAACTTACATTTGCAATTCACAGTCAAGCATCGCTCCACTACTACACAAATGACAAAAATCATGTCGATGTATCTTTCCACGTTCTAGCGGAAGATTGACTCTTATTTCGCACATTCGGATGGTAGTAGAGCGAGGCCCAATATTCATGTTCCGGAGAGACCCAAACCGAAGACATCAGCCTACTCAACGGACTAACGGCCATGATGATTAAGACCTAATAACCAATCAACGACATCCGTACTGTACAAGATACCAAATAATCTGACTTCCCAAGACACTCATACACTACGTCGTAAGTGGAGGTTGGCAACAACATTGCAAAGTATTGGACAATCTAAGAGAGTGTCAGCGCCTAAGGATCTCGCTCTACTCTCGAAATGTGCAAAACGAGCGTGGATCTTCCCCCCGAACATAAAAGATACACCGTCATGATTTCGTCTTTTGTGCATGTCGAGAGTAGCGGAGCGAGGCCCCAGATCTATCTCCATTAATTTCTAGAGGATGCACAGGTAGCCGTCTACATCGTGCTGCGAGTCCGACGAACACGCTCATGCCTGCCCATACATATGCTTCTCCATAATCAGTCTTTGTAACACAGTAGTAAGATTTATAACAATTCATTATCAGTCTTTGTAACACAGTAGTTAGATTTATAACAATTTAGGGAACTAGACGCGTTCAACTTAACGTCCGACCTCTTCACTAGTTAAAAACGAAAGCCGCACTTCCTACAAAGAAAATCTGCACAGCCAGCCGTGGACCATCGCGCTAAAAGTCCTCTGAACACCTGTCCATATATATGCCTTCAACATCAGTGTATAAAACACAGTAGTTAGATCTATAACTTACCCGTATATATCATCACATTGATATGAGACCGCAAAAGCGAAAAGAAAAAAGAAAAAAGAATGAATTCGTTTCTTTATGTATCTTCTTCCTCACAACTCCCCCTGTTCAGAACCTCTTGCGTACAACGCCGCCCACGTGGATGTAGGTTGAGCGGCGTCTGGCCCCACCCCCGTGTGTCGTATCGACCCACTTACAACAGCCAAATGGCGAAGAGGCAAAAAAAAGAGAAGGGAACAGCCAAATAAAACAGAACCGGGGGCAACAAAAGAGACATGTCAAAACATTTTTGTCGGCAAAAGAAATCAAAAAAAGCTCCGATCCCAGTGTGACAACCAAAAGGACAGAAAAGACAATCCCGGATGACGATTCCCACATACAACCACCGCCCCGCGCTCATAATCAGTCTTTACAACACAGTAGTTAGATCTGTAGCTCATGCTAGACCTGAAGGACGAACACGTTAAACTCGATGTTCGAACACTTCATATAGTTATACGAAAGCAGCATTTCCTAGAGAGAATCTCTACTTCTGCTTCATTACACGCCTCACGCTCCCTCATCTTACCATCCGACCCTATCTATGCGATAAACACCCGCAGCTCGCTTTTCCTATGTTTCATTAGCAGCTTTTCAATAACACAATAACGAGGTCTACAACGTAGGGAGGAGCTGGACCTAAACGAAGAATCAGTTTGACATGCATTCCAATCATCATATGGAAAAACAAAAGAGACATTACGTACAACAAGGATCCATCTCACCTCATGTCACCTCCCCCACACACACACTTAGCGGCATTTAAACACCCCATGCCGAAGCAGAAAAACAGAAAACAAGCACGAAGAACTACTGAAAGAAACCGACGGGCAATTCTTTAATACATCTTCAAGCAGCTCAACCACTTTGTAATGACCATGGCGCATGTGGTGTTCAAAACGTACCATATCGCCAGCACCTCCAAGCCCGTCGGAACCACGCCAACCAGCCCGATTGTAATCGAGATCAGCACCGCGAGCAAATGCCACCTGATCACTTGGTCTACCGCGTGCAGTGGCAACGAAGGTCGCTCGCGTGGCAGTCACCTCATCTGCTCCACCCAGAAAATACCACAGAGGCAGGCATACATACCAGAGCACAATCAAATATTTGTGCAAGGATCATTACACGACAGGCTGAATAGCCAACTTGGGGGAAGAGTAAAACAACAAGGCAGAAATAGGTGAAACATCATTTCCGCCGGGTCACATTCATACGTTTTCCAAAAGCCCAGACTTCGGAGATTTACACAGAAAAATGGCCACACTGATGCAACGGTTCATAGATCATTTCCCATCATGAGCACCCCAACAAGATGTATGAAAAGATAACATGTTCCCGACGGACAAGTGGATTAAACAACTCAGAGAGCTTCAGCATACCGAGTCCACATGTGCAAACCTTGCCGCAATTAGTTTTACCTTCATACACCATGGACTACAACTACAGTACTTCATCGAGAGCGAAAATGCTACATCGGACGAGGACAGACACCTGTCTAGACATCCTCGTTAAATAGGCTCCTGACCATGATAATGCAGGCCTTCTTGTTCTTTGGAACATCCGTTATAATCGGAACGACAACGATACGAGTAGCATTCAAAATAATAATAATATTAACAATAATAATACTATTGGCCTGCTTGACGAAAGTCGGGAAAAAGGAAAAAAAGAGCGTGAAATCGGTCAGGAGGAGATGGTGTGTTTTCTTGACGCAGAAAAATGATTCATCCCAGTTCCTCTAACGGATTGATAACATCACAACATAATCGAAGATGCCCGTCTTCGCGACGACTTTCTCCCAACTGCCCTAATGTGAAGGACCGACGACGCAAAATATGAGCTCCACAGCTCGCTAGGTCTTTCAACATCTTTCCAACGGACATGGTAAGGCAACGGACGCGGTCAGATCCCTTTCTCCCAGCTGCCACGGATTTGCTGCGTCTGACGACCTTTCCTTCTCCCCTATGATATGAAAGACAAACACCAACAAAAGACAGCTTGCCCAAGCGGGCCACCCACAGGACAAGCCGTGTTCCTCCATTGGCGGACAAAAATCGTACGCCAAACGACCTGAACAGCCCGACAGAACCCACAGTTCCGGTCGTCATATCCAGCATCTCAACCTTGCCAAACGACCTGAACAGCCCGACAGAACCCACAGTTCCGGTCGTCATATCCAGCATCTCAACCTTACAAGATACCGGCTGATCTCGTTGATGTGTCACGTACACAACAGGGAGTACAAAGGTACGCCCTTCTACGAAATACTACATGCGTTCCATGGCTCTACCCCCGACCACACTAGAATAAATAAAATACCTATAACCGTTACCAACACCTCCTAACACAGACATGTGCAGTTAACCATCACCGAAATCACACAGCACTGCGCGCCGGTGACGCCATGACAGGGACCTCAGTTCTGATCAGTACGTCCAAAGTAAGCCCACGTTATCTAGCACACAACTCTTCAAAATTCAAGACAACAACAAAAAAAAAAAGGACAACAATTAAAAAAAAAAAACAAAATAAAACACTAGGACAATCATTCGAACACAGCTACAGGCCGGGCAAAAACAATTTCGCAAGCCCCCGAGACCTAAACGTTCTCTAAGAGGTGATGGCTTTGCCTGAGCACTCAACATTCCTACCGATGATAATACGACACTCAACATTCCTACCGATGATAATACGACAAACACTCCGAAAGAGTGGCGAGAATCCATCGTCATAAAACTGACGGAGAGGCCGGATTGACCTTGCCCATGTCACGTCGGAAAAAGCACAAACATCTGACGAGACCGAGAGCCATATTCTTTCAAGCATTCTTCCAACCACCTTCACCCTCTCATTGTCCAGCCCAATGTAAATATATACCCGACCAACCAAAAAACAGGCTTTCCTAAGCGAGAAGAGCACGACAAGTTCGGTAGAAACGAATAAATAACGGAGATCGGAACCGCAACGAGTGATACGAAAGGTCTCGGGAATATCGGGGAACTTAAATCGACATGGGGGCGCACAACACCCGACCTCACAACATCAACATGACAACCGCCGCCTGCTGTAACACGGGGTTCCTCTATATAATCACAAACACGACATTCATTTCCGAGCCCGCAAGATTTTAAGATGCGAGCACGTGAAAGGAAAAAGAAAATAAGAATTATGAATGCTTAATTCTCAAGACAAGCGCGAAGTTACACCCAATTCGCAGTCTCCCGTCTCAGGACAATGATGAAACAACAATCCGATGAGAACGTACCATAATCCCTCCGGGTTCGTTTCTGAGGTTGCACCACTCCTCGTCTATCAACTGTTTCAGTTCGCCCGTCACAGAACAACACAACAGCAAAGACAGATATACCAGACCAAAAATCAGCATCTGGAAGGTCCTCTTCCACGGAAACAATTGCACAACTCCTCAGCACAGAACAACAACACAAGAAAACGTAGGCACAGAAAATATACCGATGCGAGAAAATCATACAGGTACATTTCCCCGGAAAGTTAAATCCATACCAAGGCAGTTGAGAATACTTCCGAGGGAAAAAACGAGAACATGACAAGGCAGCGCACAGAAGGCAGCACAGGAATTCACTACTTCAATTGTCATTTCGGGCAAAAACGAACCGGATTCTCTAAATCTTGCCGTCGACCCGCAACATGCAACGGGCACCTGAAAATCAGTTGTTTCATTCCTTCCAAGGGAAAAAACGAGAACATGACAAGGCAGCGCACAGAAGGCAGCACAGGAATTCACTACTTCACGTGTCATTTCGGGCAAAAACGAACCGGATTCTCTAAATCTTGCCGTCGACCCGCAACATACAACGGGCACCTGAAAATCAGTTGTTTCATTCCCTTTGTCCACTTTGAATCCAATAAGCGCCTTCTTAACTATCACGACAACACAAGCCTTTCGAATCCAATAAGCGCCTTCTTAACTATCACGACATCGCATGCCTTTCGAATCCAACAAGCGCCTTCTTAAATATAATAACATCACAAGCTGCTCGGCAGGCTCAAACACCCTAAACGGGGGGGCGGGGGGGGGGAGGGTGGGCAAACATCTCCTCAACGTGCGTAGGGCGCGCTCAAAGAACAAACGACTACGCACTCACGGTCTGCGACCTAACGCGTTAGGGCAACAATCAGGACTACAACGGCCATATCCACAGCTTCATAAAACCCCGCATACAAGGAAAAGTACACATTACAAGAAGTTCACATCAACGCTACCGACAAGTGGAAAGCCTTTTATTTTGCATAAATCAGAAAGAAGGGTTCGTCACACTACCCCTCGTTTTCCAGTACACGTCTCCTTCTATCTACGATGGCCGAGTCGCACATGCGTTACTTTTGTTGGCATCAGCTGCCAAAATCCTTCAGTTCACCGCGGCAGATAACATAGTTTCACTTGATGACCACAACGGAGACGGTTCCGATGATCGCGGGCTATAACAACGAAATCACCACGGTCCGCTCGAGTATTACGAGGTACACGTGCAGATGAGCTTGCGGATATAAATCAATTCCGATGTGCAAACGGGCCAGACATGTTCCGCGCTACAAACACGTACTAACAGGGTTAAGCAGTCGGAAGCCAATCAATCGAAAGACAATCTCAAAAATCGGAGATTAACGGACGAACAAAAGCGAGTAGGTAGGTAGGTATCAAGAGTGCCCAACAATTGAGAGAGAGGAGAGGGGAGGGTGAGGATGGGAGGGAAGGAAGGAACACGAGTTTGACGACGTAGATAGAGGCAACAAGCTAATTACCTAGAGCCCCGTCCATGTGTACTGATGATCTCGTTCAGAACTGCAGCAGGACAATCACACACAAAATCGAGTGTGAGAGACGCCATCGTTTTCGCGAAGCAGGGAAAGGAGGCCAGGGGAGAGGGAGAGACACAAAGGGCATCATCGCTGGGCATGTACTTCCTCCAGACTGAAGACAACTCCCCACCCACCCAATCAATCATCATACCCCCATGCCTAACTTCACCCAAAGGCGTTTCCTACATGTCTGTCTTGTCCTGACATAGTAAAACACGTGCCGAGCCTGGATATCTGCACCACCCAAAACCCCAGGAGCCGGTAATCGGCTAGTTTTTCAAGCTCCACGATGATTCATCGATGTGAATCGACTTACAGTAAGTTGCCCAATCAGACCACCGTAAAGACCTTCGAAGCCCGCAAAAAAAATAAACAACTCGTGCTGGGTCTACAACACTCGCAAATTGCTTAAGGCTAGATTAACGAGCAAGCACGCACACGACATGGGTCTACACTCTCTTGTGCGTATCACCAGGTTCGTGGTGATATCTTAACGGTGAAGCCTTTCCGTCTACGGAACCACCACAAGAGCGGATTAAGTAAGTGCGATTGGAAGGCCCAAAAGAGGAAAAAACGAACTTGGGGAAAAGTTCCGACCAGCCAAAAAAGCAAGAGATCGCACACATCCACCAGAAAGCCATATGCAAAAAACACTCCACAAACAACAGGGAACTGTGTATACCCTTTGCAAGCAACATCAGGATTAGGCTTCACCGGTTCCAAAAAGCATATTGCAGACAATACGACAACAGAGTATTTTTTAGTCCAACTTTCTGAACCACGCCTCCCGCACGCCAGCATCACGGCCCTCTCATCGTTTTAACGCCAGAACCCGGCGACGACGGTTGTAGAGCACACCTCAGTGGATACAAGACAACCACGCAGGCTCCTTCTTGGAACTAGTACGCTTCGTTTTAACGCCAGAACCTGGCCGCGACGGTTGTTAGGAACAAAGGCACAAACGAAACCTACCACCCTTCTATTCTACGGCGTTGATTCCCTCCCATATCGCCACCACAGTGCTTATAATTCTCGATACAACAATAACCTAGCGCGAACGTCCAATTCCTCTCTCAAAAGGAATCGAGATCACAGCCTAGCATATCATGAAAACTCGACGTCATCATATATATACGCGCATGACCACAAACCGCCATCATTAGCACGCGATTTGTCACCATGAGGCAAATATCTCACCCACCACAGGCAGTTAACATATACACCGTCGTGCTCCATAATAACTGAAAGGTATCGAAACAATCAGTCGGGAGGTTACAAACGCCGCTAAGCAGCAAGGTAACGAGAGCGCTACTGAAGCGACTCGGTGACGAAAGCACGACTGAAGCGGCCGGCATGGTGTGGCAAGAGCACTGCTTAAGTGTGCCAAGTTGGCGACGGCTCAATGGGAGAGGGGCACGCTCGCGAGAGCGGACATGAAATTACACATCTTCCATACTAGCTGTAGGAAATTAACCGCTCATGATTAATTCGTGAAACTCCACTCTCGTTCAGCCAGCACCTCTTACATTAGTTATTGATTATTAAGGAGCTGCTTCTCCACAGCAATATACCCTCCGTTGCGACATCGCCACTCTTTCTTTAGCCTGAAACTTTCCGCTTTTAAACGTTGAAGACAAGCAAATGTGGGACCCAACAGACAACATCCATCGATTAGACTAAAATCCATTCTCACTGGAAATCGGGCATTCCACAGACGCGGACACAGCAACGACCCGCACAAACAATACGGCACAAAACCCCAAGCAGATGACGGCGTTCGACACAGGATTTCGGTGGCCAGGATTTATAGTTTGATGGGCAAGAAACCGTAAATAGGTCGACATGTCGACATGGCCAATACTTCGCTTTCGATACATGAATGAAGACAAAACGAACCGAGCAAAAGCAAAATAATATAATTCTTTCGCACTGATGAAGAAAAGATCCACACGACTGCACAGAGAAATTTAAGAGGGGATAGTTGCCGCAACGGTCTTCACCGTAGCTCCTTTCGACAGCTTGGTGTGTCGCTCTCGTGGGGCAACGTTATACCTACAGGGTATGAAGGTTAGTTCCACCTATCGGTACGCGATGAATGAGCAGCAGAAGGCAATCAACATCAAAGAAAATCTTGGCACCGACACCTTGGAGGCCGAAGAATGCGCAGCTACGCCATCAAGCACTAGCCTCGGCTGTAGATCAAAACGGTAGCTAGTCTCGTCTCGCCAGGTATACAGAGCCACTACGATTCGTTCCCTTTCTTGAGAGGCAAGCAACAAGGAACAGAGGAGTACCATGCGAAGCAAGCACAAACCCAGCAGCAGCTAACCTACCTATTTCGCCACCAGAAGATTACACGTATGTCCGGTCTGAACTCGGTGCATGACAATCCAGCCCGGCAGCCAGCAACGGCGTGATACGAGTTGCCGCCGACTTCGTGAGGACAATAGGACGTTCGAGAATGGCATTCAGCTCATCCGATTGAAGACGTACTAGTCCCCCACGCTGAGGACTGATCACGCGAGTCCCGAAGCAGTTGATGGTAGAAGTGTTCCCGACCCGTCGGACTCGTGCCACCCGCAGCAGTCCCTACTCTTCGCAGCACGGACTGGGCCTGAAGCAATCGCATCTAGTCGACACAAAGGGATCCGCCGCACCACGCGCCAAATCTGCAAAAATGGAAAACGTATCTTCCGCTAAAAAGTGGAGAGATACCAAAGTTTTCTGTCGGCTGTGCATTCGGTGAGTGGTGTGGCGAGGAACGAAGGCCGGCCACAACACAATACCTCCTGCCACTGCAGGAGGGGCGGCGGTTACACAGGCCTCACCCAAAAAATCCCACTTCGGGCGCGAAAATGAAAGTGCTGTTTACTCGCAATCAAGAACGGTTACACTCCTCCCGCCGACAGGGAACCAACCTTCGATGGGTCACTGAGCCCCCTACAAGAGGGGATACGGTAAATGAGAGCGGCTACCCAGCTCATGTGGCTGATTGGTTCACCCATAAACTGTTCGCACAGAGACCTGAGTTCGAATCCTCGCCCGCAAGACCGCCCCGGAGCCACCAGATAAATTCGCAGCCTGCAAGACTTCGGGCCTCGTTCGGCACCACTTGGAAGTACTTGAGTTTCATGGAAGCATAGTTCCACCCCTCCCTAATTACATCGATTTCGACGTCCGGAATGTTTCCACATTTTGCATCTCAAGGGTCCTTTGAAACTCAAGTGCGGCCCAGCCAAAACAATGAAAATCTCAAGGGAGCCTCGGGAGGTCACTTGAGGCTCAAAGGCTGGACCCTTTGAAACGGGGAATATACGGAACTTCTTCTTTTTTTTTGGAGTTTTCCAGCAATCACCACTGTTCCTGCTGCAATGCCGTCACCAGTTCAGTTTCATGGGCGGCCGTCTAAAGGGTTTCGTCAAAGGTTTGTGGAATGAAAAAACGAGTTAGGGGGAATTAATCACCCTTCATAAGTTAGGGTGCCCTTGAAACTCAAGTGTTTTCAAGTGGTGTCGAACGAGGCCCTTCAACCTACTTTGTTAGCAGCCCATGGGCTGCATTGTATTTTGTCGCCGTTCCTCGTATGTGTCGTAGGAACGGAGTCGTTCAGCTTGTACTAGTAGCAGGACAAGCGAAAGGTCGTTGGGAGCAGAAACTCTTTGTGGGAAGTCTTTGTCATATAAGATGCAGGGATCTTAAACGGCATTTGGGCTAACCTCGTTCGACTCAAGCAATGCAAGAAAATAATTGTAACTAGGACATATTGTGTTTGAAGCAGTGTCGAAGGAAGCGTTATTTTACAAATGATTATGAACCAGCACAGGAGTTATGAGATTAAGTCGCCAGTACTTGGCCCAGCTATTGGCCACCGAAAACAAAATAGAGTATAAATGTTTTTGTCAGATAAATTGAGGCTCTTCTGTAGTGGTCGGTACGTTTTATAAAATCGTGGTTTATTAACGGGCACAACTTTAGAAAGTACTACTAGTAGAAACGTTTTGGTTGCACTCCTATATATTTCTTAAAATCATGATTTGTTAACAGGCACAACTTTAGGATGTACTGGTGGTTTAAATGAACAAGAAATCAAAAAGTGTAAAATTGTACATATATAAACAGTTACGAAAATGCGTTGCACTCTGTCCTACCATCATTTGCCGTTTTTGTCGTAGGGACGGGATCATTTAACTGGTATGGGTAGCGGAGCAAGATAAAGGTTGTTGGGAACGAAATTTCTTCCTGAGGCGTCTTTGTCGTATAGGATTAAATCAACAAGAAAACACAAAAATGTGAAATAATGTATATACAAACAATTTCAAGTATGAGTTGCACTTTATCATATCATCGTTCGTTGTTTTTGTTGTAGGGACTGAGTCGTTTAATTGGTACCGTTAGCGGGGCAAGGGGAAGGTCGTTAAAAGCATCAGTTATTTATAAAGAATCTTTGTCTTTACAAGATGAAGGTATCTTTCAATGTATTTAAGCATCAGATATTTTTCTGAAAATTTATTTTTTTTATTGTTCCCCCCCCCCCCCCTTTTTTTTTTTTTTTTTTTTTTTTTTTTTTTTTTTTTTTTTTTTTTTTTTTTTTTTTTTTTTTTTTTTTTTTTCCAAATAATTTTCCCCCCTCTGGGTTTTTTCGGTCTTGGGTTTTCTTTCCCCCCCCCCCCCCCCTTTGTGATATGATTTTRTTTTAGGGTATGTCTATATTCAGTTTTAACGTATTTGGACTACTAACGAAAAAATGACAAAAACACAAAATTTTGCTGGAGTATTCAAGCATAATTTTGTGTTTTTGTCATTTTTTCGTTAGTAGTCCAAATACGTTAAAACTGAATATAGACATACCCTAAAATAAAATCATATCACAAAGGGGGGGGGGGGGGAACAATAAAAAAAATAAATTTTCAGAAAAATATTGCACTTTCGGTAAAACATTCATTGAAAATGACACAGCGCATGTTAACCACCATTAACTTACGGGATTTGATTACACAAAAGTTCGAAATCGTGCATGTAAAAACAGTTGTAAACAGTCAGAGAGCAAATATGTTAAATACTTTGAAAAATACACATGAAAGAATGCAAAAAAATCATATATATGATCACAATAATTTAATATAGAAGAGTGAAAACTTCAACAGTTGCGAGATTTCATAAATACAAACTTAGGAGATAGTTTTTAAACAATACAAATAATAATAATAAATAAATTATTTAAATTATTTAAATCACAATAATTTTTAGAAATCGGATTGAAAACCATACAAGTTGCATATTATCACAAATAAATTTTAAATAATACAAGCCAAAAACGAGAAACAAGTGATGTATTATGTACAACAGGGCATGAATAGAGCAAAAAGCAAAACAAGGAGAAGCAAAAACGTAAGAAAAAATTTATAAAATAATAATAATAATAATAATAATAATAATAATAATTTTTTAAGTTTGTTAAAATAATAAAAAGAGGTTTTCATGAGAGCATAAGTTGGAAAAGGCATTTTATTTTGTTTTATATACAAGCGAGGATATAATAATTTGGTTGGCATGTCTCCTCGCATGGAGTTTGATGATTGGGACCCTCATTTCTTAATCTATATGATATGTAAATGATTGATTGTTGTTCCTATTTCATATTGTTTTTATTGTTTTATATTTTTGTTCCACCTCCCCCCCGTTTTTCATTTTTTTTTTCTTCATATATATGTTATGACCCATTTTCCATTATTTTGAAAGTCTTATCGTGTGAGTAATACGTCGGTTGTTTCGTGCTCCACTGCAGTGACTTTGCGAGTTTACTCGCCCATGTCTTCCTTACAATAAATTGTATGGAATACCAAACAACCTTTCTCCTTGCACTTATCGGAAAATAGCGCAAATCTCATACGAACATTGTGCGTTATATCTCCATTACTGACCGTTTTCCCACTACCCTCCTTCTCCTCCACCGCCACTGACAGTTCCACCATTGGAGTCCACTATTAGAGAGACCAAATAACTTTGTATAAAGACTTGAATTGAAATTGTTTCAATGAGCGATATCATTCATGTTAGGAGACAAAAAATCGAGCTTGTAATAGAAGTTTGGGCAGACAACCACGTTGTCCATGTGTTTGTGTAACCAGTATCGTCCTCATCCAACTTCACCTCGTGACCCTCTTTTTTTCCCTGCCAAATGAAATTCGGGATACAATGCCAATCATAATGGGGGTCATTCCCTTCCGATTCCGTCCCACCGGTATGATTTACTATTGCTTCAACTATCTGATTATAAGTGACATTTGCATCGACTGTTGCGCCTTTCGAACATGCGCCGCTGCTAAACAATCTTGCAGAAGCAGACCCTTTAGCTTCAAATCATCGGCATCCCCACTGTGAATTGAGTTACCATCTATCGTGAAAATCACAGTCATGGGGTGCAAATACGATAAGAAAGGTTACAAATTCTGGTATAGATGCTACCACCAAACCTACGTCGGAGGTGTAAAAAGGAGTAAACAGACCCGACAGACTGGTCATAAACATCCAACACAATGCAAAAACTGTAATGTTATACCATACACCCGCAAAAAAAAAACAACAAAAAAATGCATAAGAGGTATATGGCTCATGTACGCTGCATCAAGTGCACCCCAGACACCTGTAAACACCATGATTAAAAAAAAAGTCACGTGTTTAATTCGGACCGCCTCAACAGAGGCAGGCAATGCATCACCCAGTTCATGAATCATGATCGTGAGAGTCATAACATACCATAGATATCCAACCTCACATACCAAAGATATCCAACCTCACCCCAAGACATGTTACCCCCTGGAATGACGGGAACAATCATCTACGAAGAAGAGCCCGTCCAGAGCTTGTACTACTATATATCCGCTCTCCTTTTGAGGCCTGCATACCAGATAGTTCGACAAACATCGTACACTAGGATGAAAATCACAAGGGTCATTCCCACGGTCCCAAACAAAGTATCGATGGAGTAGCACAAGCGGAACCCGCGCTTGTACTGTAATCGTCATTGCTGCAACTTTTTATTCGCATAAGTCATTTCGATAGACAACCATCTATGAAAGACTTTGACAGAGTAACTGTCTTTGATGGCAGAATCCTGATTCTGTCAGCGTTAATTGTCTTCTCCTCCCCCGCTCACCTCTCTTACGAATCACATGAGGCATAAAAAAAATTGCGACCCAATTGCACAAGATCACAACAGTGGTGTTGGACATCAATACACCCTCACACACCTTTACCTATCTTTGTGTCGCCCTCTTATATTCCTAAACAAAAAACCTACAACTCTTAAGTAGCACGCAATAGGCCCTTCCCCACTCGCTGGTGGGATAAGACACGACTCCGGGTACCTTGGATGACCAATACCAAAGGTGAAAAGCATTCCCCCTCTCCAACTTGGAAGAGACAACAAACCTCATTTCCCCCTTCCGAAAGAAGACGAAAACCAAACATAAATCGGGTCTTTCTTCTACGTGTACAAAAAAAAAAAAAAAGTGACATTTCCTTTTCTAGTCGAAAGTTCAAACGGAACCAGACGATTGTCTTTCAACGTTGTGAACCATCCCTGTTAT